TAATATCACCATGGGGAGGGGGGCGATGATAACTTCCTCAATGGCTGAAGGGGGCATTTCTTTCAAAAAGGTTAAGAACCACTGCTCTAGACTGCAGAACCACAGAACTGGCAGTTTGTGCTCATCTCTATCCATGAAAACAGAATATGGTTTTCTTTTTATCTGGACAGTTGTAGTTTGTAGTATTCAAATAATGTAAAGGAAAGTTGGCACATATTGCCCTTCTAAAGTGTCATGTTGAAAGAAAGCATCGGTCTGGTTACTGTGAATGTTGACCTTTTTGAAGAAGAAAAAACCTGAAATGATCTCAGCCAAACCTTATTGTGCTGGGAATTGCATGGCATCCATGTGAATTCTCTCACAAAATAATTAATGTGTGATTTGTGATTTCGGCTTATTCTAGCGGCAGGTTGTACTCTTTCACATTTGCAGTATTATCCTATGAAGATCCTATAGTTGGATACCTGGAAATCAACATTCTTAGCACATTCTGAAATAACATTGAGGATGATTATCTGAAATACCATAGTTAAGATACTCATGCCAATGGCATGGACTCTTTATGTTATAATTACTTCGATACATGACTACCAGACTCCATAACTACTTTTGCAGAAAAAGCATTATTAATTAAAGACATGATCAATTCTTAAGATGATTAGTTATGAACAAATATTAAAAATTATGCAATAAGCAGTAGCATATATGCTAACAGATTACATGCTAAGCAGTGTGAATTGTTTTCCCTTCAAGTTGATGATTTCCAGTGGTGGTATTTTGGCCATCCGTGATATAATCCATAGGCTAGAGGCTCATATTCATGCAATAGCAGGCAAATGGTTGAAGACAAGAAATTGCGTCTGTGTTGTCCAATTGTGTATCAAGATTTCCTTCTCTCTGGCAGTGAGCATGTAGACAATTCTGTGGAGTGTGACAGATGAAAGGATATTTGGATCCTTGGGATTTTGATGGGGTTTGTCGTAAAAGAAATAGCTTCCTAGTCAAAAGAATTCTTTTTAATACTTCAGTTTCTCATCCTTGCCTGTATTGACAAAGTTGACTATTCTTGAACATAACATGTAATTTGATGGTGGCAGATCTGAGAATTTAACATGCAAACATGGACATTTTGTTTTCACTCCCTTCCCCTTAAAGTACTTATTTGAATTAAAAATATACTGCATTTGTTGCATCTAAAATATGAAATTTATATTGGTATTTGTGCAATCACATAACTTGGTGTCCCCTCCAAATTATGTATCTGTGACATAATGTCACCAAATTTAATAGTGGAAGGGTTTTAACCATCCCTTGCATGTAAGGAAAACTTTGGCATGTTGTAACTGTAACTGTGTCCTGTAAAAGCACCATCAGAAAAAGCGGGGGGGAAAGTAACCATATAGGTGTTACTAAAGCATATGACATTGTGTACAAAAAATACAGTCAGGGCTTTATGGTGATGCATTCATATTTACTGAAAGACCACTGATCTTTCAATAAAGGGTGTCATACAGAGGAGGGGCAGGATCTGTTCTTGGTCATCTCAGAGTGCAGGATACACAACAATGGGCTCAAGTTACAGAAAGCCAGAAGTTGGTTGAATATCGGGAAAAACTTCCTAGCTGTTAGAGCAGTAGGACAATGGAACCAATTACCCCAAGAGGTGGTGAGTGCTCCAACACTGGAGGTATTCAAGAGAAACTTAGACAAGGATCTGGCAGATATCCTTTGATTTGTATTCCTGCCTTGAGCAGTGGGTTGGATTTGATGGCCTTATAGGCCTCTTCCAATTTTACTGTTCTATGATTCTATGATACTCCAGTTGCAGGAATGGTATAAAATTATCTTTGCCGCTCTTGTACTCAGTTTCCACATCTCATGAATGGGCATTCTACCTGAGTGTTTCAGTGAGTGATCACCTCTGTTTCAGAATTTTATGAAATATAAATGTACTTAAAATAGTGATAGTTTCAGACAGTGGCACTACAATGTCTAATGTTTTTAATTGTGACGGATAAAGAATTATATAGTAAATATTTAAATATGAGTTGATATTGCAGTTGGGTTTCACAAACCTGTATTTTATCATGCATTTCCTGCTCATACAAGGTGAAAAGAGGGCTTCTTTTGTTTTAAAGGAAGTAAACTAATGGTGTCATTTTGAAAATAGGCATACTTCCTTGAGGAATATGAAAAAATGTCAGGAGTGTGTAGGTGTTTAATTTTTCTATAGAACATCATTTCTATAGAACAATATAATAAAGGCTTTTCATGACAAGATGAGTGATTTATACTGGTTCTGACAGTTCAACTTCTATACAGCTTCAGAAGCCTGTCATGTTGGTGCATTTTTCAAGACTTAAACTATTTGTTTAAATTTGGCTAATCTATGTATTCAAAAATATCTATAGTACGAGGGAAATTGTTAAAATACTATAATTAGAGTTTTAAAGTACATTGGTTTCTGGATTTCTTACCCCTCCAGTACATTGCCCTCTCTGCTTTAGTATTTGTTCCTTTTAGAAAACACTTCAGTGCATTTTAATTGGTGGCAGCTGGTTCTTGTTGAGAAACCTTGTTGTATAGAAAGCTGGAATATTTACAGCATACTGGTTAGTGCTATTTGAGCTTGTCAACATGAAACTCACAATTGAAGCAGAAAAGGAAATCAGTGCACAAGGTAATGTCTTGATTATCTCTCTTAGTTATGACCCAGAAAACCAGCAGTGGCTTGGTCATGAGTAAGGAAGTTGAGGAC